TGAAATATAATAAAATTAAAATCTCAAATAAAGAAAAATGTAGTTCAAAATTGTATATATATGAAAAAAATTTTAAGTCACAATTAATCCAGGGTCTTCATATAATACTTCAAATAAAAACTTTGACATTAACTGATTCTTTGTAATTTATCGTAGTTCATAATCGACTGGCTTATTTATGAGCACGAATTTTGATTTCGAGTAATTATTATATATTTTAAAATATTTGTGACAGATACATATAAAATAACTCTACATCTTATATATTTACTTTTCTTCTTCTATATATCTATATATATAAACATATTATTTATATTATATATACATATATTTACAAAGCTTTTATGAATAAATAACTCAATTATTAATAATAAAATATGTTATTTAGTCGACATGTTCGTGTTGTGCGTTACTCTCACGCCAAGTATTCTGAATGAGCTCGATAAACTGTTGCCACCATCTGCTGCGCGATGTAAAGTACAACATGCAAGCAATGATAAAGATCCATGACAACACTAGACAATAGTCCACTTCATTGGAAGGCGTGCTTGCAACCGGTCCCATGAAATCCGCCGATGTAACATACAGTGAACCATTCGGTTGCAAATTTGTCAGATGAGATACAAATTTGGCAAACAATTCCAGGGTATAAATAGTATCATTGAATTTGGCGACAGGCTTGCCATTGTGAACTAGCATCAATGTTGGCACTCCAACTATTCCATACTGAGCATTGAAGCTGAGAACAACATATTTTCTTAAGGTTACATTATTCATTACAAAGCTGACACAAAAAATTAATATAAATTATTATTATTTCTATAGATATTTTCCAATTATATATACATGCTTACCTTTGGTGTTTTATAGCATCAATGGCCACGGCTTTAATATGAGGAAATGAACGTGGTATGGCATTAAAATGTGGTGCAGCTTGACTACTAAATATGCACCATCTAGCATAAAATAATACTACAACACATGTTCCTGGTAACTGTTTATCATCTTTGTCATTTCTTGAGCGATTAGATGGACCAGGTTCTAAGATTAATAACTCCATAAGCCTTGTTGCATTGACAATCTACAATATGGGTGTAAGAAAAGTTAGAAAGATTATTCTCTCTCTCTCTCTCTTTGTTTATTCTACATAATATTATTTTATATGTTCAACCTCAACAGGACCATATATCTTCTCCGATGAACAATTAATTTTTGTAATATTAGTTGAGATCGTATTAGTGACATTTACTGCCACTTCAGCATTTATTTTTACAGGATCTTTTTCCTCACTTGTATATACTTGTTCATTTTCTTGTTGAGTAAAAGTATTTTCGACAATTGCTTGTGTCATAACTTGTTCCGTAGTCTCTTTGCTAGTTATACTAGTAACTAAAAATGATACAGATAATCAATAAATACCTGTTTTAAAAAATTGATTAAATTACACAATTTTATTATTTTTCTGTTACATAGATTAATATATTTAAGAAATCTGATATTTATAGATTATATATAATAGGTTTGGTATAGATTTTGAAAACATTGTTTATATCTTAATTATACTGTGACTGTGAACGTGTGAATTCACGTCAGTGAGAAAGGCGGGCCGATTTTTCGCGCATGCGCAGTGAATGTGGCATCAATACAATATAAAAGATGTCAAAATCAAATCAATCGCAAAAAAAAAAAAAAAAAACTACAAGATTATAGTATATAATATACTTTTCGATGTCGCTAATATGAAATCGTAATTTGGTATGTGAATTACTAATAATAAATTGATGCACGAATTACAAATTATGGATGTAGCACAGATAGATCAATAGATCATATCCTCACATATAGTTTCAATCTGATTAAATTAATAAAAGATAAACGCTAGGCTAGATTTAATTCAATTGTATTTATATATAAACAATGATTAACATATCATAAAACGCATATAGCAAACATATGTATTGATTCATCAAATTTTATCATTACACGATCGGATGTGAAGATATTAATATTGCAGTAATCAATTAGCCATGCAATTAGCTCTATCGGAAGGTTTTAGGATTTCTTCCCGAGTGCTTTTTGTGTCAACTCAGTTTTCTTCTGTTGCGCCATTTCCTTTTGCCTTTTTTCTTCCTCTCGTCGCTTTGCTGCCTCCTCTCGTTGCTGCTTAATTATAGCTAATCGTGCTAAGTCCGCACGAGCTTCTTCCGTCTTACCAGCTGCATGCAATTTTTGATAATTTGCATAGGCTCTTTGTTTTTCTAATTGTTCTCTGAAAATCAAAAATTTTATCTCAGTGTCAAAGAGAAAATAACTCATATTACAAGATATGACTTAAAAAATAGAAATATCTTGAAAACAGCATTATTCAACAATTATGATTATGTTCAAAGCCATGGCGTACCTACCGCTCTTTTCGAGATAGTTCTGGTTTTGAAGTATCTAATGATTGATTCAATTGAGCTAATTTCTTAGTTTTCTTTTGTATTCTGTTTGGATTTTCTACTTCAATTAAATTCTCTACGCCCTTTGCTTTGCCTCCCTATACAAACAGAATATTAATTAATGAGATTAGGCCGCATAAAAAATTTTATTTATTATTAAATACAAATATATATATACATGAAAAATTTTTTAAAGTTAAATACCTCTGTTTCTGATTCCGATTCTGATTCACTCTCACTATCTGAGCCACTAAGATTCTTTGATTTATTAGTGCCACTTGCTTTGGGTTTTTCATCATCTTCTTCTTCTTCTTCATCAGAACTATCCTGTTCTTTATTTTTCTATAAAATAAATCTTAAGTTAATCTTGGCTTTGAACAATATAAAATAATGATATAAAACTTGAGATAAGACTTTCAGTTCGTTCTCTGTTTTTTAGCCATATGTAACAAAAATTGTAACCGTATCTATATATTATATTTACCGAATATTATGTTCTTTCATTTTTTATAAATCGATTATGAGAAAACTAGATCTCTATAGCATTTAAATCTTACACACAATAGATAATACCTATTAGTCACGATATGCTTAAAGTCACGCAATGTTTATCGGTTAACCTAAAAATACTGACTCTCCACTGTTTCTTTTTTTCTTCCTGACGGCGCTGCTCCTCCAGCTCCTCCGGATTCGTGAAATGTCGATTCCTGCCTTTGTGATTGACGAATTTTCCTACATGACAAGAGCAGATAATCATTAATTATGTATAACGCGAAAACAATGTGGGGATAATTCTCTCGGGAAAAGAAGACAAACATGACAAAAGGATGTATTTACCTCGCGGCATTGTAGTTTATAATAAACAGAAGCCGTAAATCTTAGTAACTCAAATATATCTCAAAGAGCTCTTCGATACACTACTTCAAGAAATTGTCTTATTTTATTATTTTTTCTTGGATTTCCGTTCGCCAGATGAAGTTCACAAAAAAATTGTTCTCACATCAAATCAGAAAGATACGTTACATCCATAAACATAATAAAGATAGACCACTAAACCCTCAATAAATATTGAACTGGAACCTGGAATCTGGAACCTGGAACACGCACTGCCTACCCCATAGACATAGTATATCTAGACCGAGTGTTGAGGAGTGGGGGCCGATGCCAACGTAGAAAAGGACATACTCTGTTTCGTGCCCCTTGCGTTCTCTCTCGCTCGCACAGAGCATAGCGCTCTCTTTCGTCATGCTACGTGCGAGCGAGAGAGAACGCAAGGGGCATGAAACAGAGTATGTCCTTTTCTATGTGCATCTTTACCCCCACTCCTTAAATAAAGGCAAACGCTCGGTCTAGATATACTATGGCCGGTATTCATAGTCCGTTCTTATATCCAAGATCGTCTTAAGTGTGGTCTTGGGTCGTCTTAAGATCCCATTCAACCAATGAAATGGCCGCATAGTATCTTAAGATCGTACTTAAGACGATCTTGAATATAAGAACGGACTATGAATACCGGCCTAGATATACTATGTCTATGGCCTACCCCTTCCACTTGAAAAAGTCGTAGAATATATATGTACATGACATCCTGCCCATCTAGAAATGGCTGTCCTTACATCAATTGTGACCACATGAAATTTAAGGCCATTGCACATGAAAAAGTTTTAAATCGACTAATCATAGTCAAGCATTTTCATAACGTAGTAAGAATGTTTGACTGTGATTGGTCGATTGCTTACGGTCTTATGGTTACAATTAAAACTTTTTCACGTGCAATGGCTCTCAGCTGTCAGCTGCCTACTATAATTTATGGAAGTCTCTAGTCATTGATTTTGACGTGTCTCCTATGTTTGCACGTGAAACGTGAAACTATTGCTACCGGCAAATTATTTTTTATACTGCTCTCTCGGTGTGTATGATATTTTAGGTTACTTCTTACGCAATTTAAATTTTAAGATTAATTTTTTGTATCAAGGAAATATATTGATTTTATTGATTTTACATTATATTTTGGAAATCTCTTAACATTAAAAAAATATTTTTTAGTTATATATATAAAAAAATGTCAAAAAAATTTCATTTGAATTATATCTAATAAAGAGAGCTAATAATTAAATCTAATAAAAAAGATTTTGTGAAATTTATGAAATCTGCATGTATATACCCTGCAATATGCTGATTTGTTAAAATGCAGTAAAAATAATGATACACATATGTAACATATGTGTGTACATATATCCTGCTACTGCACAATTAAAATTCAGAAAATGATGCAATCATGATTGTGAATGCTAAAACAAACAATTTACAATGATGTAATTTACAAATTGTTATAAAATAATAATTTGTTTAGGAAACTAGAAAGACATATATATATATATAAAGAACAAAAATGACCTTGACGTGGGACGAGAAATATAGACTTATTACCAGAAATCTGGCAGAATGGTTGGGAGACGAGAAACTCAAAAGTATCCTGAAGGAACGTGATCTCAAACTATATTGGGGTACAGCTACAACAGGGCGGCCTCATATTGGTTACTTTGCACCTATGTCCAAGATAGCTGATTTCTTACGAGCGGGAGTAGAGGTAACAATTCTCTTCGCAGATCTTCATGCATATTTAGATAACATGAAAGCACCCTGGGAACTTTTGGAACTTCGTACTCAATATTATGAAGCTATAATCAAGGCAATGTTGAAGTCCATTGATGTTCCATTGGACAAATTAAAGTTTGTCAAAGGCACAGATTACCAATTATCAAAGTAGGTTGGCATTATACCAAAACTCCTTGTATTTCGATGTATTTTGCATTATGCATATTATGATTTTTTTTGTAATATATATTTTTATATATAGAATGCAGAAAAAATCATGGAATATTCTGATATTTTAAAAACTATGGATTTTAGACAAAAATGTTTTGAATAAAAGTTGTAGAACTTAAAATGACTTAAGGTTAAAATAATACCACCATTTAAAATCCTGAAAAAGCTTTTATTTGAAATATTTTTTTCTAAAATCCATAATACTCGAAATATTAGAGCGTTTTATTACTTTTTTCCTCATTCTATATATATATGTATATATACATACAATATTATATAATTAACTAAAATTGTACTTTTTTTTTCAAGGGAATACACATTGGATGTATATCGTCTGAGTTCACTTGTGACAGAACATGATGCAAAGAAAGCTGGTGCTGAAGTTGTCAAGCAGGTCTCTAATCCTCTGCTATCTGGTCTTCTTTATCCAGGGTTACAAGCACTCGATGAGCACCATTTGAAGGTAGATGCGCAGTTTGGTGGTGTTGATCAGAGGAAAATCTTTACTTTTGCAGAGAAGTATCTACCTATGATGGGATATGAAAAATGTGTTCATCTGATGAATCCAATGAGTCAGTATTAAGCAGGGAAAATGAATAGAAACTTTTGCATGTTGTTTCATTCAAATATATTGCAAATTTCATATATTTTTTCCATATTTGCTTTCTTTTCAGTTCCTGGTTTGGCAGGTGCAAAAATGTCTTCATCTGAAGAAGATTCGAAGATCGATCTATTGGACAATGCTGCGACGATAAAAAAAAAGTTGAAGAAAGCGTTTTGTGAACCTGGAAATATTGAGGACAACGGAGTTTTAGCATTCTCCAAACACATTCTATTCCCATTATTTAAAGATGGCGATGTTTTCAATGTACCAAGAGCTACAGATTTTGGTATGTAATTTGCATTATTTTGTCATGCTGCTTGAGCCTGTTTGTGATTTGACTTATTACAAAAAATAATAAATTTAGCAAAAAGAATAAAATTTTTAATAAATATTCTTTATCGCATTCTTGCGGTTTCAGGCGGTGATGTGTCTTTCTCAAAGTATGAGGATTTGAAAGCCGCCTTTGCAAAGCAAGATATACATCCTGGTGATTTGAAAAATGCTGTAGAAATATACATCAACAAACTTCTGGATCCAATAAGAAAGGAATTTGAAACAAACTCAAAGCTGAAATCACTTGCAAGCAAAGCATATCCTCAGTCAAAGAAACAAAGTAATTTGTATATTTTATGAAAAAATTTTTTGTTTCTAGCAAGAAATGCACAAAATTGGTTTCATATGTAGTATTGCAAGAGAATTACAATCTACTGTTTGATTTATTTAGAATCCCAGGAGGTGGAAATTACACCTGCAAGATTAGATATCCGAGTGGGAAAAATAATCGAAGTTAAGAAGCATCCCGATGCGGATTCGCTCTACATTGAGAAAATAGATGTAGGTGAACCAAATGGTCCACGTACTATAGTCAGTGGACTAGTCAACTTTGTACCTTTGAATGAGATGGAAAACAGAATGGTAGTGATCTTGGCCAACTTAAAGCCAGCGACTCTTCGGGGAGTTTCATCACATGGAATGGTTCTCTGTGCTTCAGTGTAAATATCCTATTATATAGATAACATTTTAGAGTCTTATTTATACATATATCTACTGCACATGAAATTATATATATAAATCCCATATATATATATATATATATATATATATATATCATTGTTACATTACAAATTAAGGCGGAATGTATGAATAAATATTATGATAATGATATATATAAAATATAATTCAATATTATATTTTATATAGTGAAGAACCAACGAGACAAGTTGAGCCTTTGAGACCTCCTGCAAATAGCATGCCTGGTGATAAAATTATTATCGAGGGATATGAAGATGGGACAGCAGATGATGTATTAAATCCAAAGAAGAAAGTGTGGGAAAAACTGCAGGTACATACATATACTGATCATTTATGTATATTATGTGCATGGATATCCTATTAAATCTTTTCATTATATACATTCCTTAAAGTTAAAGATAAAAAGAATTTTTATAACAAAATACTGTCATTAGGTCGACCTTGTGGTAAATGGAGATGGTGTAGCATCTTGGAATGGGAATCTCTTACTCACTTTGGTGGGTGGCAAGATAACAAGTGATACTCTCAGAAACGTTCCAATTAAATAATGCAGTTATAACTAGCTTTATATCCATTGTATCAATTGATTAGCTAGAAATCTGTTGCATTTTTATGAAATTTTTCATCTTTTGTATTTTTCTAGCATTTAATGGGCGTACATACACACTTATCAATATACAAAAAAGTATAATTATAAAAGTTTGTGATCAAAAGTAGAGCAAATATATATATAAATAAATAAATTCAATGACCTTTATATTAATTATGATTCTTGATAAAATTATATAATAGGTACCATTGCTTTATTATTTGAAGAGAATATAGTTTCAAATAAAGAAAGTTTGCTGAGGTTTACAGGAAATGCTGCATGATTGAACCATCTTTTATTTTCCATGTAATGGGTTGCTTAAAACCCTACAACTTTTATATTAAACATATTTTCCTAGAATCCATAGTTTTCGAAATATCGGTTTATTCTGTTACTTTTTTGCTACTTTGTATGTATATACGCACATTTTAATAAAAATTGACTATTACACTATTGCAACACTGTATTCCTGAGATTAAATCAAGTTAAAACGTCTTGTTTTTTCTTCTGACAAAGAGTTATCAAGATATTGTGAGAATATTGAACAATTTGTCGAATAACACAGCGTGGTATATTAATAATATAATATTTTTATAACAATCTCAATACTCACTTCAATTAAAACCTAACAATGTTTCTTAATATACATACTATAATCTACATTCATTAATTTATAAGTTATAATAACATTAACAATACTTATTCTATGTGATTTCTATCTAGATTTATACTAATTTAGCATGTATATTAAGAAAATATTGTTAAAATTTAATAATTTATGATTTGTGGAATATTATGAATATATATATATCGTATATATAAATAAATATTCACTAATAAATTATAGAGCTTCAGGCAGTTTCTCCTTGACATTTAAATTGACGATTGCCATCTCATGATCTGTTGTAGTTTTGTTCCTTCCATTAGATATTATAACTGCATCTTCACAAGTCTAAAAAAAAAACAAAAACAATTAATGATAAATATTTTTTTATTATTCTCGTTTAATCAATATACATATTTTTGTATAAAACTGAAGATCAATTGCAAAGTAAACACAAAACCAATGGCATCTTTGAATATAAGCTGAAAGTATATACTGAGCGCTATAAATATAAATGTTTTAATACATAAAAGTTGCATTAACTTTGCATGCATTCAACATCTTGACGTTTTGTCTATATATTCGTATAACATGACAAAAGTGGTATCATGACGAATAGTAAAAAAGGTATTTATGAAAAGCTATTTAAATTTTATTACATATTTTTTGGATCAATATGTGGTAATTTTATATTTTAAAATATATTATCAGATGTTTTAATCAATTTATTTGAGTTTCTTAAACTATGTGATCTATATTTAGTATTTGCCATGTGATGCATTTACTTCATTACAAAAAAAATAATAGTAAATTACCCATAGTTTCTTGTTGTAATTCTACCTTGTAGGAAGGATTGTCATATGCTGATGTTGTTTTACGAGATGATATATCGGCCTTAATACTCGTTCGTCTTTTCATCAACATCATTAACAAGATCAGAGTTGATAGTATTGCCAAGGAAGCCACAATGGCCACTATTACTAAGGGACCATAGTAATCTCCTTCATAAAGAGGAAACGATGCGATTTTTCCAGCTGAAAAGAAGATCCATGTTACATATAATTCCAGAATATAAAAATAATCTGTTTTTTAACAAAAACTGTAAAAAAAATATTATTACCTTGTTGAGACACAGTAGCCGGTAAGAGAACACCTGGCTTAGTAATAAAATCCTGCACATTACTCTTTTTTATTTTTCCATTGGTTAAATATATTTCAAGCCATAGTCGATACCTAGTGCCAGGTTTGAGATCATTGATGACGGTTTTGGCATCAGAATCTCTTTTAGCAATTTTGAAAATACTAGTGTCTTCTTTGCCGGTATCACTTTGATAAATTGCACGATAAATGTTCACATATTTGTCCTCTGGATAAGGCACACCATTCCATAGCACTTCTACGTTTGTTGATTTGATCGTCTTAATCTCAACTTTTATCTCAAAAGAGTATGGGTCTGGCTCCATCAACGTAGCTACCTGAGTCTGTTATAATAGATTATACTAATGTACTATATTAATTATATA